AGCATCTACAACAGCTCTTTGAGGAAACCTTCATAATATGAGCTATAACAACATTTAATTTCCCTTTGGGATTAATAAAGTATTTTTGAATTGAATTGAATTGAATTGAATTGAATTGAATTGAATTACCACAACTACCACAGCATTCAATGCAGAAGTCTGGTATGGTTCTGTTGTTCTGATTTTCCCACTCATAAGTTGGGGGGCGCTGCAGTTGAAATTTCCTACTTGGACGTCAGAAGTCACAATGTAACACACCACAAGGCCGTGCTAAGGAATTAAAAATCTGTCACAACATAGATGGTCTTTGGAGGGTCTCAGTCACTTCTTCTGGAGAACCTGATGGCATGTGAGTGATCTGTAACTCTTCTGAGAATTTACAGAACTTATGCAGGGACATTGTGGTGGTTTATTAGGTGGTGGCAGCAGTTATGGGTCCTGGATGAGTAGGAGGTAGTTGGGTGGCAGCAGTGGCAGAGCATCCATCCTGTGCAGCTGGACAGCCCTCTGACCAAAGCTGAAACACCAGGCTGGCACCAAGTTCTGGTAGCACTCTGGATGTTGCAGTTGCATCACAGACACATAATAACATACACTATGAAGTCTGGAAATGTGATACAGCTTTGAAATACATCCTCATGTGACAGGCACATAAATACTTCTCTGTCAAACCCAGAATTAGGTTTCAGAGCCCAAAGTGAATTTGCACTCACACTAGTAGAAAGAAATAAAGATGTCTGAACTTCTCCTAGAGCTGCATTGACTGTCCATGACAGAAAAATGAAACCAGGTTTTAGATTGTCATGATGAAACCTCACGCTGTTACTGAATGAGAAAAGCTGTGAACGGAGCAGAACTAAACCCACTTTTAGGCACAATATCATAGTTGGGATATAGATTTCCTTACCTGCAACACGTACCACCGCCCTCTCTGCCGGGTCCAGCACCGAGTCCTGGCTCTTCCGTTTCCTCCTTTCATGCTTGGACAGGTTCCACGGCAAAGTGTCCCCTGGCGGCCCCACGAGTCCCGACGTGCACGGAGACAACGACCCGCCAGAGCGCTCGGTGCGAAAGGATGGTTCACTGACGCAGGAGCGTTCGCTCAGAGTATCATCATCTGACGACTCCATCTCGCTTCGACACTGCAGGGAGGAGAGAGATCGACATGAATGAGGAAAAAGGAGGTCAGAGGCTTTAGAAATAGTGGAAACACTGTATAATTCATTGCTGCTCTGGAGGGAGATCAGATCGTTATAAATGATGCAAAATTTTTAATGTTGCATCAGTAATAATGTAGAAGTCAAAAAGAGGAATAACAGACAGAGATAACAGAGAGAAGCAGGGATGTGTGTTCTAACATGATACCAAGATACAAGAACCTCAAAGAACCAACTACTGCAGCTCATTAATATGAAAAGGGTTAAAAGTCCATTTTTAAAGTTCATGATTCTCCAGAGATAAGATTATTAACTGAGCTCCAGGCCTCAGTTAGCAGGTTCGAGGTTAAAGGTCATGACAGGACAATTAGATAAACACTGAACCAGTATTGTGAAGGGAAAGCCTCTTCTCTCTACAAATAATATGGCTGCTCAAGATCACAAAGCTGCATCTAAATGAAGCTCAAGACATCCTGGGACAATGTCCTGTGGACAGTCGGGACCAAACCAGAGATGCCCTACCCTAATGCACAGAACCCTGTTTAGAAAAACCCATCAACACAAATACCTCATACCACCTGTTAAGCATGGTGGGGATAATTTGTGCTTGTTTTGCAGTCACAGCACCTTGGAGTTTTTGTTTTTGTAAAGATTTGTGTTGCAGCAGTAGTGGCCTTTATTTTGTCATTTTTAAAAGCAAGCAGACAGGAAATGTGGGGAAGAGGGGAAAGCCACATCGAGAGCCGAAGCTTCTCTATACATGGGCCGTGCGCTCGCTCCTCTGCATACCAAAGTATTTCATAGTCAAATGTGAGTCCATCTGTCTGACAGCTGAAGCTCTGCCCAAACCGGGCCATCAACAGAACAATGATCCCAAACCACTGGAAAGAAGAAAAGACCAACGTCCTTCAACGAGTTGAGAAACTGCTAAAGTCAGGCAGGAAACGACTCCTGAGAGTCTGTTGGGTCATAAGGTGCACTTCAGCAAATCCAAACTTCTGTATTCATTGTTAATCTTTACTCCAGTGTCAACCCAAACTGAGCCAAAAGAATAACTTAAAACCAAACAAGTAAAGAAGAGCTGGAGATGTGTTTCCAGAGCGTTTCTATCTTGGTTTTCTGTACCCTGCTTCTCTGGAATGACCTGAAGGCATCAAGTGGCAAAAAAGAAAAACGCAGCAAAGACGAACAAAACTGGATGTGTGTGCGTATTTATTAGGACTCTGGAGACCTGATGATCCAACGTGTCCATCAGCGGATCAATAACTCAGACCTCCAAGTTCCTGAGACTGCAAAATGATTTAAAGACCTGCAGCTCCCAGAGTGGAACCTCAGTTTCCCTGAAATCCCTGCAGACTGATCTAATCATTTCAGATCTACAATAAACAGACAAACAGTGGCTCAATTTTCTTCTGTGAATCTTTGGTCCTTTGGATTTTTCTCCTCTTCTTGGTGGCATTTGAAGCATCTTATTGAGGAAAAAAACAAGTTCAAACTCTCAGAGTTTGTGGAGCTTAATAATTATTTCCACAGGTTTCCTGAATGATGAGCTTTAGTTCAGAATGAAGCTCAACATGTTCATTTTAAGGTTGTTATAATCATGTTCTAAAACATTATTAATCTTTTTCTACTCTTCATTAGCATAAAAACTCTCCTGACTAAAAACTAAACCAGCAACACAAAAACGTCATTATGTTCAAATAGACTTCATTTTCTTATCTTTGACAACTTTTTTCTCTTTATTCATCAAATATGAACAAACAAATAAAAGATAAAATGATTTTCATTGAAGACAAGCTATAGATCTCCAACATCATGACACAGAGAGAAATCAGCATCTTTTTAAATGGATCTATGTTTGTTTCTTTAGCATGATGACCCTCGCTGCGAGACTAATCACATACTTTAATGAATTAATTACATGTAATATAGAGCAGCAGAGGATCAAATGCAGCATTCACTGATGGAAACCGAGTGTTAAATGAATGCAAAGCTAAGAGGAGCTCCAGGGCAGCGGGGTTAACCAAGAACCACGATTAACTCCTCTGCTGGCTTTAAATCCTTCCTTGGTTTTTACTTAACACCTCGAATGAATCTCATCACATGCAATATGTGTTCCTGCAGGAACCTGCAGGAACAGGACCTTAGCGCCTCCTTTCTGTCACCTATGAAGCTCTACGGTTTATATTAAATTTAACAATTTCTGACCAAAACAACAGGAAGAATTAACTCACAGTAGTTATGACCCTAGAGGCAATTTAGAGAGACCAGTTTACCTAACAGTCATGTCCTTGGACTGTGGGAGGAAGTGGAGTACCCAGAGAGAACCTACGCATACACGGGAAGAACATGCAAACTCCATGCAGAAAGACCTCAGGCTGGGATTTGAACCCAGGACCTTCTTGCCACAAGGCAACAGTGTCACCAATTGTGCCACCGAGGTAATATTAATAATTCAGAGATTTGGACTCAGAGGTGGTTCTGTTTGGTGTAACACTTTTCTCAGTTTCCAAAGATTTTTTACAATCCTCCATGAGTCAGATTAGCTGTTAAATTGACATTCACTAGTCGTTAGTTGTTAGGCGAGAGCTTCTGTTCCCTGCTGTGAATATTTTCTCCTGTTATTAGAGGGAAACTGACGGCAGTCAGGACAGCTGCTGCTGGCTTCTGAAGCCACTAGACCTGATGGATCCTTCTATGTGGAAATAGAAATGCTGAAGAAAGTTGGACGTTTTTCCTCCTCTGCCCCTAATTTTTAATCAACATATTTAGTATCATTAGGATTTGTTTTTTACCATCTTCTAATTTGTTTCAGGGAATAAAATGGAGCGATTGTTATCTCTTGCTTCTCTTCTGTAACTTGATCCCATGTCGTGTTGAAACTGGAACTTCACTGTAAACTGGCTGAAAACTAAGTTAACTTTAATTGCTTTAACACATTAGTGACACATGTTTATAACAACATACTTTCTGTTTGTTGGAACATATCAACTACTTTCAAGTTAAAAGGCTCAAGTCCGAGTGAAGTTCTTGTTTTTAAAGTCCAAGTCGAATTCTTAGTATTGCTAATTTCATCACTGAAGACTTGTATCCAAGTCATGGGACTCAAGTCTAAACCTCTGACATTTAGAGTCTAAAAGCAACCAGTCGAATTGAAATAGACAGGAAGGCGTTGCAGTGAGGTCAGAACAGGTTCTCGTCTTTTCTTTCCCATCAGAAACTGAACTGATACATTTTGTAAATTACAGTCCAAGTCAAATGACAAGTTTTTGAGGGGCAAGTCCAAGTCAAGTCTCAAGTCTCTAACATCCGGAAATAAAAATGTTCTAATTAAATCCCTAACCTCCAGGTCACCTCTAACCTCTACATTGCTGTAGGTTAGGAATCTAAATTATTACATAAACATTTAATAATTATCTTCTAGTCTTTTAATATTTATTAACAGTTATGTTTTAATCATTTAACATTTTCTTTACTATCCACAAATCTGCTAAAGGCTGTTTTATATTATCTAAAAAATTGATCAAATGTAATATTTATCACATTAAAAATATAAATAGGCATAAATATTGTCCTCTACTTCATTAGATGTTCCTCTAAATCCGGTCATGAGGGGTGTCTTCTCACTCTGAGCTGGAAAAGTTTTAATAATGTTGGGAAATTATTTTCCTAATCCACATTAAAACCTTTGTTCTTAATTCTAAATAGCAAAGATGTTCAAATGTAAGGTTTAAATTACAACATAAATGAGGCAAATAGCAGGAAGTAATTAAATGAGTTAAACTTCTGAATGAACAGAACAGGAAGTGCTTTTATTTTGATATTTCCAACAGGAAGTATCCTTGTAGTGTAGCAGCTAGCTTAGCATCGAGAGAAGGTCGGAGGTCAGTTACTTTTATTTTGCTCTATTGAATCCAGCGTTCAGTTGGAGAGACATCCATGTGGTCATTACTACAGCTGACATGAACAGGCTGTTCGGAACTATTAACATCCCATAATAATCCAACAACATCACTGGCTAATAATCAAGCTCATCCTTTCACAGTAAAACAGTCTGGAGCTTCCTTTCACTCTTACAGAAGATTAAAACTGGAACTAGGACTTGAGTCTCAGACCACGAGTCCAAGTCAAGACTCAAGTCTTTAGGGCTTGACATAGTCACGACTAATAAGGCCCAGAGAAACCGCTGAGTGACGGGTACAACTGGAACCCGTCCGAATCTGAAACTTTGCTTGAATTTGGGGTCAATTGTCTGAGGTTTGCTCTAATATCTGTAAGATAATTTATAATGTTTCAGCATTTAAAGATGATCAGAAACACAAACCTTTCAGAATTAAAGCCTCTGCACTTCATCAACAAACATTTTACTACAAAACAAACTTGTCTCAGCACAACCCAGAAGGTGTTCAGGCTAACTACTGCTTGCTGACAAAACTTCCCGTCTGGGCTTTTATTTTTCTAACTAAATCATGAACATGCCTGAGTGGGGTGTCACAGAGTGGGGTTGTGTATTTATTATCCGTACGTTAACATCATCTAAAACAAAACTACAGCTGCCAAACATCCTCCTCCTCCTGCTGCTGCTGCTGGCCCCTAGTTAAACCGCCATCTGAAACCCAACTTCCTGGATCCCGCTGTCTCCCCAGCAACGCTGCAAGGAGGAGGGTTAAAGCCCTTCCAGAATTCCCTGCGGTTCTGTGGTGTACGGCTCCTTCCCGCTGCTGGCTGACAGTGACTCAGTGGCGCTGCCACGAGTGGTTTTATAAATAGAGCCATAACGGAGGCTTCAAAGCTGCACCGTGTCATTACAGCAACGTGAGGGGAAAATTAGACATTTAAAGAAGAAGAAGAAACTGCCAGTAAAGCAGCATGGGCAACTGTGAGATCACTTCCTGCCTGAAGACACCTTCAAGATCTTCATTAGTCCAGGTTCAAGTAAAAACTCAGTTTTTAAAATACAAGATGTTTTTAAAAAACAACTGAATGATGTTAAAAGCAGAGCTTTGCATGGCTCTTTGGTTCCTCAAGGTGAAAACGTACAGTATTAGATGCAAAAGAGTTAAAACGGCATCTTCCACATGCCGAGAGGCCCAATAAGCAAACTGGAAAGGGTCCATGAGGTGCTGAGTCTGGGGTATGAGATGTTCCTTAACCAGGTCTTCAAAACACTTCCTAACCAGTGACATCAGTGCTGTAGATCTGGAGTTATTTGGCCTTGTGGGCCCGGGACGTTCTGGTACTGGCCCAATTGTGCATGATTTTCACAGTGTATGGACCTTGATTTGGTTTAGGGGGGATCTGAAGATACCAGTAAAAACAGGTGCTAGCTGTTCAGTGCAATGTAATGTTTTAAAAGTCTCCCCCAGATGTTCTCAGGACCTGGACCTTTCCTTGAATTACAGCGTTTAAAAAGCTGGAGGACTTCTGGCTCCTGGATGGTGAAGTTAGGTGACAGAGGAGGGTAGCTGGGTCATCACTATGGCGCTGGTGTCATAGTTTAAATCCCCACCAGGCCTCTCTGGGGTTTCTAGATGCCAAAGTGGACTCCTGTCTGGATGATTGTCTCTTAGTCTGTCTCTGATTTTCCCTTCTTGCTGTTTTATTTTGATTCAAGTGATGTTTTCTCTTCTATTGGCTGTTTGTTCTTATTTGCTACTACTTTATTAATCCCAAACTGAAGTGAGAGAATTAGTACATCTTTAAATCGGATATCAGCCAACATTTCATTAGTTTTAAATATAAATAGTAAATGTTTCCCAACCAAATCTCTTCTGAGTAACTCAAAGACAAGCTAAGAACCATCAGTGGGACCTAGACCCATAGACATAGAAGACTAGATGCTGCCTTGACGTAGTTGGATATCTTGAAGTGTATTGTATTATACATACTTTTAGAAGCCAGACATCTCTGTTTAAAACATCATTTTCTTTATTGATCTAAGATTTGAATTTTCTGAGGCTCTGAATTTTGAGTTTTTATTCCCTGTCAGCCAGAATCATCAAAGAGACAAGAAACAGAGGCTTGAAATATTTATCTCTATGTGTGATGAATCTATATAATATATGACTTTCACAAACTTTTCATGATTATGTTCCAACAATATTGCAATATAATATATATATATATAATAATAAGACAAGGAAGTTCAACATTATCTATTTAACTTTGACGATACTCACACAACCTCTACTCTAGTGCATCTTTATCTGTCTGTGCTTGTAGAGGAGCAGTATGAGAAGCATAGATGTAAACAGTAGAAATACTTCCCACCAGTTAAACCAGTTCTCTTTGGTTCCTCCACTGTTAATCTAAAACAGTGTGGTTGTTGTTCAAGTTATTTATTGTCTTGGTTTGACAAACAAAACATTAATAATTGTTCTTGGTGACTCAATATTTAATCCACCAGTTCTACAAACCAAACGCTGACCTTTATGGGACATGTACTCATGCAGGGACCCCCGTGACAAAGTGCAGCAGCTCAGCCCGAGATGCTCTCCTGATTTATATTCCACAGCCGGCACATACATGGCTGGGGTGGGTTCCCACAGCTCAGGCTGAACAGTGTGTTTGTTGAATGTGTGTCTGCCTGCAGCAGCGGACCAATGTAAACAGAGGGACTCTGTGGCCGAGCAGAAGCAGGGTGAGGAAAAGACAGGAAGGACAGAGTGATAAGAGGAGACAAACTCAGTCCTAACTGCCAGAATGTCCTCTTGCCATTCCAGAGCAGCATTCCTGTTCTGGATCAGCCAACCGCTGATGGGTTCTTCAGTGATGGTCCTGCTCACCAGACTAACAGTACACACAGATCTGCTGAGCAGCAAACCTCCTGGGGAGAAAATCCATCTGAGGAGCAGATGTGATCACTAATAAAACACTGGCCCAATATCCTCCACAGCAAAGATTCTGGTAAAATAAATAGATAAATTAACTCCCTCACATGTTTCTGCTAAACATACATTATAGACCTGGCAACTTTCTCATCACCGTGTTAAAACCTGATGTCAGATATTAGAAAACAGATATTAAATATGCTGCATTTGAGCCAGCAAGCTTACATAATGTGATGTAGTTTGATGTTTCTTTTACATCCACACAGCATTTTACAGCCATGAAACTTTTTTTTAAAAAAAAGCAAATGCTTTATTTGAACTGAAACTAATGGTGCTTGTAGTTCGGAAATGTAAAATCTCTGATCTCTGGTCGGTTCGTCGATGCATGTTTAAATAGATCGCCTCTGGCCTGGGAATGTTGTGGGATAGCCCAGAACGAGCAGGGAAGAGAGGGACGTCTGGCCTTCCCTCCTGGACCTATTCAGTCCGTGAACTGATCCCAGATAAGCAGAAGACCATGGACTTTTATTTAAATTGAACACCTTCAAGCTTTAAGGGAAACAAAATGAGGTAATCTGGAAATGTAACCTCGAGCTCCTGATGTGGATCATCC